TCAAATCGCGCTGGAAACGGCTCGTCTGCCATAGATACCGTTGCGTTTTCTTTACCTCGTAACTTCTACACATTACAGAGGTTCAATTAATTTGGCTCTTCAGATTGAGTCAAGAGAGAGAGAGAGAGAGGGGGGGGGAGGAAGAGAGAGAGAGGGGGGAGGAAGAGAGAGAGAGGGGGGAGGTGAGTGAACAGAAGCGCCAAGAATCCTCCCCAACAAGTCATAAATCCCCGATACAAGCCAGCCCAGCCACAGCTATCATGTCACTCCTTTCATTACTACATGGAGCTGTATGGACCTGCCTCCCCATCACCCCCCCCCCCCCCCCCCCCACCCCCTCACCCCCTCCACACAAATATTGATGGTGTTGGGGAGGCCGTGAAAAATGTAGCATTTGAGAGAAAAAAATATATTTCGTTCTCTTTCCAGCGTATTGACATGCCTTTGACGTCTGGGCCTGTTTTGGTTTTAATGAGACATGGCTCGATAACGCCTCAGAAATGCAAAACCAGCCGACGGACGCCTAAAAACCAGAGCCGTGTGATCTGGGTCTGACAAGAGCCGCATCCTTTTCCACCAGAAATGATTCAGAAATGCGGATTTATTTATGCGTGGATTTGTTTTACTTTTTTGACAATCTGTGGCCGGACGTCAAACGCACAAAACTAGCAATTTCGCAGCAAAACATGTTAAAATAGGAGGTAATAAATGTTTGCATCGATGGGTTTTTATCTTAATTATAGTTTGTTTTGACAAGATCTGCCAAAGCTTCAAAGATATTTAGTTTTATTTCAAGAACTGTTGCTTTAAATTGCCTTCTTTATTGTTCTAAAGTCACAGATGTTGTACTTATTTCTTGCTTTTTTATCATGCTAAAGTTAGCGATTTTAGACTAGCTTCTTAATTATGCTAAAGTTAGCAATTTTAGACTAGCTAATTTATTATGCTAAAGTTTGTGTTTTTAGACTAGCTTCTTTATTATGCTAAAGTTAGCAATTTTAGACTAGCTAATTTATTATGCTAACACTAGAGCAGGGGTCTCCAACTTGTCGGGAGCTACCATTAGCTCGCCAAAGGATTTAGAATTTTACATATGATCTTGAATGAATACATTTTTTCAAGTATAAATCTAGGGTTTTACAGTAGTAAGGTGAATTTTTCCTGTTTTCTCAATGTTTGGTCACAATTATTAGATAGATGTTTTATTATGACCGCAAAAAGTAGTAGCTCTCTGCCTCTCCTGTTGTATAAAAGTAGCTCTCTGATTGAGAACTGTTGGAGACCCCTGAGCCAGAGAGTCTATTTTATATCTTGTGCTGTGTTCTCCTCATTCCTACTGTCCTGTACTTGATGATGCAACACTGACATTTCCCCGCAGTGGGACCAACACAGCATCTCTTCATCTTCATTTTCTCATTCCAAAGCAGACATTTGTTGCATCTTTTTAAATCCAGATCATTTTCTTGCTTGTCCAATTGGCAAAAACAGCAAATTAAGACACATTTTGCCAATTTTGAGCTAATTTTTGACTTATTTTTTCTCGTGTTTTTGCAGTGTTGGTGTTGTTTGCGCTCACGGCTGTGATTCTACACTGTACAAAGTGATGAACAATAAGTCTAACATTTCTCAAATTTGGCAAAACATGTGTTCATTTGAGCACATTCTGACTGAGCCTAAAAACAAGATTCTCCAACGGGACAAAACAAAATGATGAAAGATACAAAAAAGTCTCCGTTGGAATGAGGAAAGCAACAGTTCTTGAAATCAGACTAAATGGTTTTGTCCCGTTGGAGAATCTAGTCACAAACCTCAGATTAAGACACATTTTCCCAAATTTAAACTCATTCTTGACTTATTTTTCAGCCCGTTTTGCAGCGTTGTGGTTTTTTGCGCTCACGGTTGCGATTCCAGCAGGAGGATAGCTCCGCGGCGGCTCTGATCTGAAGCTAATGAATGTTATCTGTGGTGCGTTCAAGAGCATACTGTAAACGGCAGCTGCGGGACGAGGAAGAGGAGGAGGAGGAGGAGGTGTGAGCTGGTTCTCAATGACGAGATCTGAGCCAATCAATGCGAACGTGGCGGGTGTTGCCCTGAGACGGAGAGAGAAAGAGCTGGATCAGGAGGAATATAGGTTTTTCCAGGGTTATTGCGCGCTGATATCTCCATCTAATGAAGCTATTTTTCTGTCAATAATGGAGGCCTCGGTAAATCTGATTTTCTTAAAAGAAGTGAGGAAAATCAGTCTGCGCTGCCACATTACTCCCAGCAAAAGAAGACTCCAGCCAGTATCACCGAAAATAAAGTGTCATTTTGCTGATTTTGATCGCTTAAAGGCGGAATGAGAGCAGTCTGTGGCATAAGAGGCGAGATAATGGTGCAATACGGTGCAATAAACGCACGGTATTAGATAGAGAGGCGCAATTATGGTAAATATTTATACTGTTAAAAGTGAAGAGTTTGCATTCCAGTACGGGAAACTGTTATTGCTCTTTTGTTGTTCTTGTTGTCGATAAATTACTCTAAAGAATGATAGATGAAAACAAAATGAAAAATTAAAAGTGATGAAAAATAAGTCAAAAATTGCACAAATTCGGCAAAATGCGGTTTGACTTGAGCACATTCTGAGCCTTAAGAAAATATTTGCCGACGGGATGAAGAAAAATCATGTTTTCTCGCTTTTCTCGCTAACGGGTGAAATAGGAGCCGTTTTTTAATAGATAATGGTGCAATACGGTGCAATAAACGCAGACGATTAGATAGAGAGGCGCAATTATGGTAAATATTTATACTGTTAAAAGTGAAGAGTTTGCATTCCAGTACGGGAAACTTTTTTGTTGGCCTTGCTATTGATAAATTACTTTAATAATTAGATATTGGGTTTAAAATAATAATACAAATTAAGCTATAATTTTGTATTTTGTTGAATGGGGCAGTAACTAAAAACACAGGATAGTAGCTTTTCCTGCTAATTTTTAACTGTACACTGTAAAAAGTGATGAAAAATATGTATAAAATTGCACTGATTGGGCAAAGGTATTGGAGGATTATACTTATTTTTCTTTCTTCCTGGTGGATCGTCAAGACTATTGGTTCTTCTGGTTGTCAATCATTCTGCTGATTTGTGCTCGTCCAATGAGACCAGAGAGTTTTGCTCAAAAAGTGGAGACGGCGGTTCTTTCCTGAAATCTTAAATCCTCCTGTATACTTTTAATTTGAGCACATTCTAACGAGATTTGCCAATGGGACGGAGCAAAATCTTCTTGTTTTCTCGCTCAGAGGCAGAAAGAGAGCAGTTTGTGGCATGAGAGGGGAGATAATGGTGCAATAAGGTGCAATAAACGTATGGGGTTAGATAGAGAGGCGCAATTATAATACATGTTTATACTGTTAGAAGTGAAGTGTTGCCATGACGATGCTTTGTTCCTGGGTTTTATGGGATGTGATCAGTTTGATTTAGATTTGTAGAGTTTGTTTGTGAAACTGCTCTCGCTGTTTTGTTGCTCTTGCTATTGTCAAAGTACTCTCTCCGGTCTCTGGCCTCTCTCTGGTCTCTCTCTGGTCTGTCTCTGGTCTCTCCCTGGCCTCTCTCTGGTCTCTCTCTGGTCTCTCTCTCTGGTCTCTTTCCAGTCTCTCCCTAATCTCTCCCTGGTCTCTCTCTGGTCTCTCTCTGGCCTCTCCCTGGTCTCTCTCTGGTCTCTTTCCAGTCTCTCTCTGGCCTCTCCCTGGCCCCTCCTGGTCTCTCTCTGGTCTCTCTCTGGTCTCTCTCTGGTCTCTCTCTGGTCTCTCCCTGGCCTCTCTCTGGTCTCTCCCTGGCCTCTCTCTGGTCTCTTTCCAGTCTCTCTCTGGTCCCTCTCTGGTCTCTCTCTGGCCTCTCTCTGGTCTCTCTCTGGCCTCTCTCTGGCCTCTCTCTGGCCTCTCTCTGGCCTCTCTCTGGCCTCTCTCTGGTCTCTTTCCAGTCACTTTTGGTCTCTCGAGGGAGACCTTGTTAAATGTTTTTTATGACGTTGTTAGTTTTGAAATGAAATGACTTCAGCTTTAAGAATAAGTAGCTTTAAGACTTTCTCTCTCGTCTACGGTTATATAAAGGCTTGTATTAGTGCGTCGGCGGGCGTGTGTGTGTGTGTGCGCCGCCGTGTGTGTGTGTCTGTGTATATGTGTGTCTGTGCGCGCCGATGTATGTGTGTGTGTGTGTGTGTGCCGCTGTGTGTGTGTGTCTGTGTATATGTGGCTGTGAATATCTGTGTGTTTATATGTGTGTGTGAGTGTGTGTAAGTGTATGTGTGTTTAATTGTGTGTGTGTTTGTGTGAGTGTATATATGTGTGTGTGCGTCTGTTTATGTGTGTGTATAAATGTGTGCGTCTGTATATGTTTGTGTGTATATATTTGCGTCTATATATGTGTGTGCGTGTAAGTATATGTGTGCATCTGTGTGCAAGTGTATATGTGTGTGTGCACGTCTGTATATGTGTGTGTGCACGTCTGTATATGTGTGTATGTATGTGTGCATGTGCGTCTGTATACGTGTGAGTGTGCGTTTGTGTGTGTGTGCGTGCGTATGTATATGTGTGAGTAAGTATATGTGTGTGTACGTCTGTGTGAGTGTAAATGTATACGTGTGTGAAAGTGTGTGCGTCTGTATATGTGTGTGCGTCTGTATATGTGAGTGTGGAGGTGTGTACGTGTGAGTGTGCGTCTGTGTGAGTGTGTGGTTAGCTGCTTACTCTCTCAAACACATCCCGTCACATCAGCAGATCTCTCTCGGACACGGTGCTGATTGAAACCTCTTCAAACGGTGCATTTAGGTAATTGCACGACTCTCTCCCAAATATGTTCCAGTCCCACTTAAGGCCCCTGACCACCGGGGCCAGTGCCGAGTCGGGAGGGGCGGGGCAGTGCCGAGTCGGCTTGTTTCAGCACCGGCCCCTGACGTAACCCAGGACTTTAATCGGAAATAAATTAGTTCTAGCCGTAAAGTGATTATTGCTCACTCACTGCTGCTTCATGTAAATGACGCTCGCGAGAAACTAATGAGGAAGAGGAACGAGGAGGTGAAGAGAGGGCTGAGGGGGCTGGAGCTGAGGGGGCTGGAGCTGCGGGGACTGGGGCTGAGGGGGCTGGAGCTGAGGGGACTGGAGCTGAGGGGACTGGAGCTGAGGGGACTGGAGCTGAGGGGACTGGAGCTAAGGGAGCTGGAGCTGAGGGGGCTGGAGCTGAGGGGGCTGGAGCTGAGGGGACTGGGGCTGAGGGGGCTGGAGCTGAGGGGACTGGAGCTGAGGGGGCTGGAGCTGAGGGGACTGGAGCTGAGGGGGCTGGGGCTGAGGGGACTGGGGCTGAGGAGGCTGGAGCTGAGGGGGCTGGGGCTGAGGGGACTGGGGCTGAGGAGGCTGGAGCTGAGGGGGCTGGGGCTGAGGGGACTGGGGCTGAGGAGACTGGGGCTGAGGGGGCTGGGGCTGAGGGGACTGGGGCTGAGGGGGCTGGAGCTGAGGGGACTGGAGCTAAGGGAGCTGGAGCTGAGGGGGCTGGAGCTGAGGGGGCTGGAGCTGAGGGGACTAGGGCTGAGGGGGCTGGAGCTGAGGGGACTGGAGCTGAGGGGACTGGAGCTGAGGGGACTGGAGCTGAGGGGACTGGAGCTGAGGGCTGGAGCTGAGGGGGCTGGGGCTGAGGGGACTGGGGCTGAGGAGGCTGGAGCTGAGGGGGCTGGAGCTGAGGGGACTGGAGCTGAGGGGGCTGGGGCTGAGGGGACTGGGGCTGAAGGGGCTGGAGCTGAGGGGGCTGGAGCTGAGGAGACTGGGGCTGAGGAGGCTGGAGCTGAGGGGGCTGGAGCTGAGGGGGCTGGAGCTGTGGGGACTGGAGCTGAGGGGACTGGAGCTGAGGGGACTGGAGCTGAGGGGACTGGAGCTGAGGGAGCTGGAGCTGAGGGGGCTGGAGCTGAGGGGGCTGGAGCTGAGGGGACTGGAGCTGAGGGGGCTGGGGCTGAGGGGACTGGGGCTGAAGGGGCTGGAGCTGAGGGGGCTGGAGCTGAGGGGACTGGAGCTGAGGAGACTGGGGCTGAGGGGGCTGGAGCTGAGGGGACTGGAGCTTTGTTTTCCCGATTTGTTAAAACATTTCTACCTTATCTCCATTTTTACTAAGTGCAAAACCTTGTGAATATAACTTAAAATATAGATAAATACCTGCATCACGTGGCCATATCTGCAGGTAAAAGCCAGATCCTGTAAGACCTCTGAAACTAAGCAGGGCAGGCCTTGGTTAGTTCTATGATGGGAGACCTCCGGGATCACCAGGTGCCACAGTGGGGCGGCTGCAGCTGTAACGTGCCAAACTGTGGCTGTGTTCTTAGGCAAGACACTTCACCCACATTAGAATGAGTCTGGTGTGTGTGAATGGTTGGTGGTGGTGGGAGGGGCTTCTGTCTGTGTGCCTCAGGGCAGATGCGGCTACACTAGTTTATCACCGCAGTGTTTGGAGTTAAAGAAGAATGACATGTGAAGGAGTGTCCAGAAAAGCACTACATAAAACCAATGCATTATTATTATTATTATTATTATTATGTGACGTACCTAACCGCGGCTAATGTAAATTACTTTTTAATGGAGAATAGAGGTTTGGCGTTAGCTGTAAAAACGCCATTACAGCAGCCGGAGCTAAAGGTTGAGTGGAGCATATGCAGAAACCGGAGGAAGCGGCTGAATTCCAAATGCGTGATTCTCAAAATGGACGTTGGCTTCACCCACACACTCTCTATTTTCTGCTCCTGCCGGTCTCCTCTTGGCCGTGTGTTCTCGCTCGTGTTGTTCTCGCAGGCTGATTCTCGTGTATATATATATTTCCTCACATTCCAGACTCCTCATGAGAAAATATTGATTATATAATTGGGCAACACCAGAGCAGCGTTTAACCCAAGCCCCTGCGCTTTTTATCGTGCTCTTTTTGTAATCCATACACATCAAAACATCGCCGCATCACCCCCGGCAACCTTGCCTGTGTTTTTAAGCATTCCGAAATTAGGAACTTTGCCCTGTTTGTCTAAACGCTGCAGAAATAACAAGTATATGGTGGGCTGAGGGCTTGGAGCAGCGTCTGACTGGTTAATAACATGAGACTCCGGCTTCTGGCTTCGGGAGAGTTTGGAGAATACATATCTTTGAAGTGCAACGGTCGTCTGGTCTGAAATATGTTTAATAATTAGAATTTTATAACCTCTTTATCGCCTTACACTTTAGTTTCACAAAGCCTCAAGCACAATACATGCTAGTTTAAAGAATTCTCTGCCAAATTGACCAATAAATATATAAATCTGCAAGAGGGTTTGACATGAGGTGGATTTATTAGCGATAAATCTATGTTAGAGGCAGAGGAAGCACCATTGGATTGGGACATATTTGAAAAAAACTCATAATTTGCCTCTAAATAAGAATTTCTTATGAAGCCAGATCTATTTTAATGCCAAACAAGTCAAGTTTCATGTCTTCTGGAGCAAATTCTTTCCAATTTTCTGCCAATTATTCAACATGTTGCAGATTGTAGCTCAAAGAAAGCAATATTTTAACAAAAGAAATCAAAGTGGAGAAATCCGGTTTTTTGCAATTTAACTTCATTGTGTGTTCGAATGTCTACAAAAACTCTAAACTCAGACTTGAGGCAATAACACGTTCACTTTGATCGCCGATAATTAAAGTTTTTGCTTTGAAATTGATGTGTTTTTTATGGTATGGCTCCATTTTGAGTATTTCTGAAGAAGAAAAACGTCAGCAAAAACACACAGATTATTCCATCTGCGTGGAAGAGAAACTGTGGGAAAGACTGCCTCTAGTGGTGATTTTGGGAGGTGCACAAAATAATTAAAATTTATATAATATACAGAAGAACAAGTAGAGGTTTTGCAGCTGTAATTTATCCCATTGTGATGCAACACAAAATCAGATACAGACAAAAATAGCAGTAAAATTATTTATATTTCAACCTCACGGCGTAACAATATATTATAGTATTCTCTCATCTCTCTCCATAGACGATAAATATTGATTCTCAAAAACACACTCTAAAAGCCCTACATGTAAGGACTTATTTCCATACATATACAGTACCTTGCAAAAGTATTCATACATTTTTAATTTGCACATTTGTCATGTTCAAAACCAATTACTTTAGGATTTTTTGACTCAAAGTTCACACACAAGAGACACAACAAAAAGCGCAATAATTCCATCTGTATCAATACTTTTGCACGGCACTGCATTTTATGTTTTTTTTGGCTTCTCTGCAATGTTCAAAGTGCTACGTCCTCATGCCCAATGTGTTTACTCCTGCTTTATGAGATTAAGTGATATAGACATTGTCAGAAGATCATCCCGATACATTTTGGCTCTGAGTCTGCGGGGCCCGACATCAAACGGCGTGTAAAGGCCGTAATGAAAACCTCGAGGAAAACTTAAGAGCTTTGGCTTTGGATGTTATCAGGTTTTACCCAGAAGCCTCCAGCACTTCGCCGGCAATAAGGCGAGCGAGAGCCCAACGTCTTATTCCTCTACAGCACAATCAAACAAGATGCTGATTCATCTCTTTTAACTAATCAAAGTTGCTTAGCTAATCTGTTTTCTTTCAACAAATCCACTCGCCTCCAGCCTTATCTATTTGTCCTAGTTAGCGGCCGGGCTGTTAGCTAACGCGCTCTCCCCGGGTCGTATTTTCATTTAAAGGAATGTTTTTGTGTTTGTCGCCGATGCGGGAGGGTCTGAGGACAGAGGTGATGATCCAGGACTGTCCACGTTTAACGATTTTTATGGATTTTATTGATTTTTATGGACATTGGTCTCTGCTCCTTATGGACCAATGGCTCTATGTGTTTTTATCATTGCATTTCCTGTTTGATTCTCTGATCGGCTGTTTCTGAATCAACAGCTTTGTAAAGTCCTCTGAGATAAATACGGTTGTGATTTAGGGCAATACAAAAAAACATTGAATTAAAAAAGAAATTCAATTAGCTTGCTATTTATAGTTGTTTATTTATGCTATCTATATATTTACCTAAATAGTTAGTAATTTATTCAATGATGCTCTGTTTTCTTTCACCAAATCTACTTTTCATGAGCTAAATCCATTTGTGGTCGTACCTGTATGTGAAAGCTAGCTCCTGTCAGACCTCTGGAGCTAAGTAGGGCAGGGCCTGGTTAGTACTGTGATGGGAGACCTCTGGGAACACCAGGTGCCACAGTGGTGCGGCTGTAAAGTGCTAAACTGTGGTTATGTCCTTAGGCAAGACACTTCCCCCACATTAGAATGGGTCTGGTGTGTGTGTGAAGTAAGTAAGTAAGTAAGCTTTATTTATATACCGCCTTTCACAGACCAGAGTCACAAAGCGGTTTACAATTGTTATTTTTTGAGCACTTGTCCTCTCACTCCACACAGAGATGGGAATGGTTGGTGGTGGTGGGAGGGGCTGATGGCACAGACTGGTTGCCTCGCTTCTGTCAGTGTGCCCCAGGGCAGCTGTGCCTGCAGTAGTTTATCACCACTGTGTTTGGAGAGAAAGAATAATGACTGTATAGAGTTTGTGAGAGTCCAGAAATATATAAAACGGATGCATTATTTGTCCTGGTTAGCAAGGCAAGTTTATTTGGAGAGCACAGTTCAAACACAAGGCAACGCAAAAGGCTTAACACAACAAAATAAAAATAAAAAATACAGGGAATTATGATGATATATAACCACAGTATATTAAAAAGAGTGAAGATACAGCTCTTTAGGTGTATGGAAAGCTAAACGGTTTTTCACCTGGATTCGAACATTGTGCGCTAGCTGCCAGGCTGTTAGCTAACCCCTTCTCCCTGTGTCCTTGTTTTATTGCAGCTTGCAAGAGGAAGGAGCAGGAGCAGAGCAAACTGGAGCGCAACCAGGGCCCCAAGCGAACCCGGCTGGTGTTCACCGACCTGCAGCGGCGCACCCTGCTGGCCATCTTCCGCGAGAACCACCGCCCGACCAAAGAGCTGCAGATCACCATCTCCCAGCAGCTCGGCCTGGAGCTCTCCACCGTCTCCAACTTCTTCATGAACGCACGCCGACGCAACATCAACAAGTGGGCAGACGAGGGCCGCCCATCCTCCACGGGCTCCTCGGGGTCCAGCGTCTCCTCGTCCGCCGTCTCCTGCAGCACGGCGTGAAGCGGGGCCAGGCCAAAGGGGGGCACATAGACTGGTCTAAGGCAGAGATCAGCCGTCATAAATGTCCTCCTCGTTATTTGTAGGAGCGACGGAGCCAGCGATTAAGATGATTTTATGATGTATTGTTGAAGCGTTTTTTCTCCAAAACCAAAGTTGAATGCCCCCTTGCAATGGAAGGGGGCAGTATAGTGATACGACAGCGGGGTGCGAGGTCCTGCTTGTATAGTTAAAGGGTGCTAAGATGGATTGGCTCCCGGAGGAGTCACGCCCTTACATAGACGCCATCTCATTGCATTATTTTGTAGAATAGAGATAATGAGGGTATCGCAAATCAGGAGGATGCATATTTTGGTGTACCTTCAAATCTATAGTCATCTCTCCAAAATGTGACGAATCAAGGGGGACTGGAGAGTACCATAGTGTAACTTCTTTAATCAGAAGTGTTCACCATCACCCAAAGACGCTAATCCTCCCCAATATTATCCAGATTGTTTTCAAATCAAAGTGAAGGGAAAGGCATTTTTTTATTATACAGTTTTCTGGATTTCTTAGCATGTATTGTCGTGAAGATGTTTTCCCGGACTGCGCCTCAGTGTGTGGAAGCCTGGACCCATCGGGCTTCGTCCAACGCCCTTTGCCTCAATCACTCACCCTCCGCCGGGTTCCCCATCTTGAATTAATCAGAGTTTTCAAGCGGGAGCCTCGTCGGGTCATGTACGCCACATCACCGGGACTGAATACGCAAATGGAATGCAAAGGAAGTGCTGGGAAGAAGAGGGAAAAAAAAGACGTTTGGTTGGTGCGAAAACCCCTGAAGACACTGAATGAGCTTCCGAGGCATCGAGCTCACGGCCATTTTGTCTCACATCCAAAGCCAAAAAAGTAAAAACGACGCCAAAAGGTTCCAGAGGGAAACAGAACATCGGACACAATGTATAGTGATGTTGTAGTACTTTTTTTCACTTGCATTTCCAAATACGGCTTTAACATTTCTGCTCCATAGCAAAAGTGTGTTTTTTTTTGTTTTTTTTTACAGACAAATTTGAGGAGGAATGTAATTCTTTCTGCTCGTTTTGTACAGATTCCAAGCACATCCCAATTGACCGTATGATCCCGTTGGAAGTGCAAGGCTGTTGTTTTAGCCTAAAACCAACGCCATCTCTGAGTCCCTATGGTCCAACGAAAGGCTAGCTTTAACACGCCTCTTCATAGCCAAGAGAAAAAAGAACCTTTACAAATGCAATTTCTGATTTGATCAACGTATTTATTAACGCATTAGGGTATTTATTTTTGTTCCTTGCTATTTATTTAGTTATTTATTTATGCTATCTATATACTGTAAGTATTTATTTAATGATGCTCTGTATGTCTGTGTGAAAACTGAAAACTTTTTTCTGATGGGCACTTTTAGCTGTAGAATCCCATCGTAATACCAAAGATGAACATTGCCTCCCTGAATGTACGGCCTATATCCCCCCGAACCCCTGTACCCCAGTCTGTACCCCTCACTCACTCAGTAGAGTTACACGTCTGTCTGTTTAGGGCCAGGCTGTTTTTTTTCTTTACAACTATTGGGATTTTCTCCTTCTTGCAACTGTCTCTGATGACGCCAAAGGCCAAAGCTTGTTTGAATGTCGTGCTAATATTGAGTAATAGTTTAAATAATGGCAGAAATAATTATGACAATGATAAATGTGGCATCTACGCCGACACACACACACACATACACACCCCGCAGGTCGCTAAATAAGGTGTCGTTCAGACCTGGAAGTCCAGCCAGGTCCGTCTCTAGAGCAGCCAAACCATGTGTCTGCCCACCCACTCATGGTCCCTGGCTCTGGCCTCTCCTGTGTGTCCAGTGTGGTTCCCCCTGTCCTCCAAATGCCTGCCCTTTTTGCCAGTTGTCTCAGTTCCCAAACGTTTTAGGAGGGTTTAGTCATAATCGTCCAGAGTTTCAGGAGGTATTTAGAAGCTTTGAGGCCTGGGCAAGGTCGTTATTGCCTTCCGCTGCTGAGGATTGCAGAGCAGGTCGGTGCTTGGTCTGAGTTGGCCTGGATTGCCTTCTGATAAGAGTGTGGCTATTGTGGCTCTTCTCGCTCCCATTCTCGCACCAGAAACTGACGCGTTATATTTAGGATTTGTCCGTCTCTAGTCATTGAGAGAGCTGAGAGTTTCCAGTGGTGCTAAATTATTCTGTGTTTTAAAGAGATGCCATCAGGACTCTTTACCCAGGGCTATTCTCTTCCATTCAGGGTTTTATACAACCATCGGATTTCTTAGTTTGTGAAAATAGTTTAGCTTCGCTTTTTCTGGGCAGATTGGGCAAAAAAGCCTTGACTTTGCCCCCCGCCGGAGCTGCCAAAGAGTGGCTGGTCCTCCTGGTTCTTTCTTCTGCCTCGTCTGTCTTTAGCGTTGGGAGAGGAGCGGGAGCCGGGGCCCCCTTCACAGTGTGCACTTGAAAGACGGCGGTCATGAAAGAGGCCATCGACTTTTTCACAGACTTCAAAGGGGAGGCTTTTTTCATCCTGTCTCCTCTCCGGGTATCTGGTCTGGGGTCCACTCTCGGCGAGACCTGTGGGCTTTGGGGGGCATTCAGAGGGGCGGGGGTAGATCAGAGAGGAGGCTGAATCATCCAGATAGAGGCAGGACGGCGGGGAGGGCTTTATTGGAGGAACAGGAGGTGCTGGGGCAGTGAGGCAGAGAGAGGAATTAAAGTTTAATGAGCAACAATTGTTAGCAGGCAGAGAGTGGAGGGGATGTGCTCCAGAGTCTGTTCTGGGGGGAGAGAAATTAAAAATAAAAGAGAGCAGAGGCTCCTGCGTGACCCCTGCTTGCTTCTGTCGTTGTATCAAAGGAGAGGTGACACCTTTCAGGTTCTGCCTTTGTCTTGCAGACTCTGGGAGTAAAATGGAGACAGGGCTGTTTGTAGTGAGCCACCTCCTGCTCTGTGTCAAACACTGGAGAGCCCCTTCAGGAGATGAAGGCATAAACAAGACTGCAGCAGGTGCAGCATTAACATGTGAGCCTGCGGCACCCCCTAGTGGCCCTCAGACAAACTGGACATGAGCTGAGACTGTGCAGAGACTGGAGTTCAGAGACATGTCTCTCACTGTCACTGAATGTTTCCAGGACCAGGTTTAGATTCAGCCGTTTCTAGAGCTTGATATGATGCAGACACGATCAGGAAGTTGTGTTTGGCCTAAAGAAGTAGTTTACATTTTAGAACAGGCATGAGACGTGATCCCAAAGAGCTGGTAACAACCAGTGGTACAAATGCAAGGTCTAAACTAGGTGGGATTAGATTAAAATAGCAGGAGATAATGTATACTTATGTTTTACAATAAAAAGACAAAAAAGTATTTTTTGATAAACCAAAAAGAACAACCAAAGATTGATGGGTAACTGCTGAAGGGTCTGTGTCTTTAGTTTTAGCAGTTCCCTCAGAGCTAGCGTAGCACTCAGAGGACTTTATGTTACATAAGACAGTATTATGTTGGAACTGAGAAACTGACATGAGGCAGCGTCTTCAGATGGAAGTCTTTTGACTGTGACCCCTCTCCCCCATGCGTCCCCCATGCTCCCCCATGCTCCCCCATCCTCACCCTCTGTGTACATGAAGACTTTACCCATCTACCTCAACTGTGTGCGATGTTGTGTGGCAAAGATTTTCCTTAACCAAAGAAAGCATCCTGAAGGATGTCGTCCGTCTGTCCTTTCTGTCTGTTCATCGTCTTCTTTCTGCTCAAACCAAAAGTGCTGGAATCAATCTGTGACAGGAGCCAAGCTGGCTCCGCTCCAGCTCCGTCTGTTCCATTCTCATCTTCTGTAAATAACCAAATCATTCTCAAGACCAAAAAGAAGGAGGTGACAATCTAAGCAAGGAGGTTCTTGCTGTAATCAATCGTTGCCTATTCCTTGTTTTTATTTTCTTCTTTTCAAAATCATGACTTGTTTAAGAAAAGCCCAAAAAGGAATCATCCAAACGTTCCGAGGAGACGAAAGCTATTTTTCCACATTTGTAAACACCCTCCACCTTTTCTTTCCAAATGTTTAGTGTAGTTTAATTCCTGTTTGATCCCACTGTTGTAAGTAGGAATTATTGAAACTCATGATAAAAGCTTTAACCGGACGATCGGAGGGACGCATTATATTAGACTGAGTCTGAGGTTCCTCCGCTTCGCCCGGGCCCACCATGCTTTATTGTGCCATTCTTGTTCATGTGTTAGACTTACTAATGAATGTGGCTAACCAAACCAAAGGCTTTCAAAGAGAAACACAACACTTTAAACGTCAATCATGGTGGGACATTTTGTATCAACAACTAAAGAAAATCCCTTTGAATACCTCATGTGAAAATTGTTTGTTGTGATGTTGCACTAAAAAAATAAAAATGACTCATTTGTAACCCACCCTGGTCTGGCGTGGACTTTCTTCAGCGCCGGGAGCAAAGGGGGAAGTGTGCGTTTGTGGTTCTAAAGGCCACACTCCGCACCACAGTCTGAGAAAGGTCACTGTTCTGTACTTTTACTCCCGACACCTTCACACACTTCTGCCATGAACTTTGATTTAAAAAAGAACGCTCTGTTATCGAGCTATGGGTTTTATATCCTTGTTTAGGCTTCACTTTTTCAATTCAATTCAATGTATTTGGTTTTATCCCTAAGTCACAACAACAGTTATCTTTGAGAATGTTACAAGGTTGTAGATTTGCCAACACAGATCAGTGAAACAAACAGTCCAAACTCCGGAAATGCAAATATAAAAAAACATATAGAGCCGTTGGTCCATTTGGGACAGAGACCAGTGTCCATAAATGTCCTGGATCATCACTGTCTTTAGACCCTTCTGCATCGACAAGAAACAGCTAAAGAAACACCCAGTGGGAAAAATATACACATGGATTAAACTGGATCTTAGTTCTTGTGTCTGGCTACTTACAGGTCCTATCCATGCACTGCCAACTCCAGGGCTGCAAGAATAGGTAGAATCTGAATAAAATGATAAAAGTATGACATTTGATTTGGTATAATTGGGCCTTCTCCACCGACAGCAAGGAACCACTCACAAAAGAGTACAGTGAGAAACCTCTGGAAGGGATTCACTCCAGGACAGACAGGCTGTAGATCCAGGACCGAGGCTGTAGATCCAGGACTGAGGCTGTAGACCCAGGACCAAGACTGTAGACCCAGGACTCAGGCTGTAGATCCAGGACTCAGGCCAATCTTACAGACACTATCTTCTATGTAGTCGTCTGATTACACATTCCACACACCAAACATTGAATCATTAAAAAACACATGTTCCAACCCAAATCTCCTCCAACTCAGAAACAACATTTATTTACTGCTGCTCTCTCACACATTTATAGGATGTCTTTATTATTTAAAAGTGCCCTGTACGCGGCCATCAATCATTAGCATTAGCTCAGAGTCAGGCATCTTTAAGACATCTTTAAGACATCTCTAAGATCACAGTGAAACCCTCCATCACACTTAACCACATCCTGCCACCAGACCACCTCCCACATTTATTGACCGCGTGACAAATTAGTCCATTAATAATTTGACTGCGTCGCGATGAAAGCTTCGGGACAAACAGTAAAAACGTCCGTGAGCGCATCTGCCGCGGCGTCCGTCAGCGCGAGCCGGACAGAGACGTTCGCGGGCGGTTCTTATCGATCCCACCGTCGAGTCGGTCGTTACATGTAAAAGCTAAATTGACCGACGGAGCAGTTTCCTCGGCAGTCAATGAAAGTGTTTGAAGGCGTTTTTATGGAGGATTTACTTCAGTCGTCGGTGGAGAACGAGAAGCAAACGGAGAGAACACACGCACGGATGTGGTTATGACACCGCGGACGCACACGGCAGTCAATTTGACGGGTTTTTAGTGTTTTGAAAGTGTAATTACAGATGTAGGTAGATTACTGTCACTAGAATATACTGTACTGTGTTTTAAACTTGCTCTTTCTTAACGTTTAGAGATGTTGTACTTGCTTCTTTGTTTTGCTAAAGTTAGAGATTTACTACTTTTCTAGTTTAGAGTTATTGTTCCTTCATCTTGTGCAAACTGGTCATGCAACACTGACATTTCCCCACAGTGGTTTTCTCTTGTCTCTCTCTGGTCTCTCTCTCTGGTCTCTCTCTGGTCTCTCTCTCTGGTCTCTCTCTCTGGTCTCTCTCTCTGGTCTCTCTCTGCGGTCTCTCTCTGGTCTCTCTCTGGTCTCTCTCTGGTCTCTCTCTGGTCTCTCTCTGGTCTCTCTCTGGTCTCTCTCTGGTCTCTCTCTGGTCTCTCTCTGGTCTCTCTCTGGTCTCTCTCTGGTCTCTCTCTGGTCTCTCTCTGGTCTCTCTCTGGTCTCTCTCTCTGGTCTCTCTCTGCTCTCTCTCTGGTCTCTCTCTCTGGTGTCTCTCTGGTCTCTTGCTCTCTCTTGTTTCTGCCTCTATTTAATTTTAATCTTAACGCTGGAGTTACATATTTGCCTTGACAAACTTTTCTGCTGCTGAAATGAATTCCTGATCTCATGAAAGACGGCTTTATTCTCACAGACACACACACACACAGACACACACACAGACACAGACACACAGACACACACACACACAAACAGACACACACACAGACACACACACACACAGACACACACAGACACACACACACACACGTTTTTGTTACCTGGTGGGTCCCTTTGACAGGGCCGTTCAGAATGGGACCCATAGACATAATCTTTTTTTACTGGGACTACTTTAAGTAATACAAAACAGTCAATAGAAAACAAACAACTCTTTTAAAGGGATTTTATTTTAGATATTTTTTTAGAATTGCAGTGATTCTATTTTTGACATAGAATTTAATGCCACTCCATGTCCGATGTCTAAGGTCATCTGGTGAGGCATTAATGCAGGCCAGGCCAGGCCAGGCCAGGCAGTGAGACTTCCCAGGGACCTTTCCAGTCTGTATGAAAGGCGTCATAGTCTTCTCCACAGCCTTCACCTCAGATGCAGACCATGGCTTTCTTACACGTTCTAGGGAGAGAAATAAAAATATATTAGCAATATACACTCCCAGGGTTAGGACCAAGCAGCCTGGCTGTAATCCCCCACCTGGTACACTTACCAGAAGGGGCACTGCCACTACCATGGGGTGCATCTGGATGAATGGTTGAAGGTTCTCCGCTTGAAGTTTCTTTTAGCCCGTCCGTTTGTGAGAGGATCTCTACTGCTCTCCCTGTCGCACAGAAAATAAAAATACAAGTGGCCTTTAGGGGAAAAAAATCATACATATTTTAATAATATCAAGAATTACCTTCAGGCTCAATTTGTATCTGGTCGAGGCTCTTTCCTTCGAATTCCGTCACTCTTCCCTGCTCCATGGCCATCAACACTTTGCTGATTTTGGCCAGCTCCAGTGTCCCCTCTGGTAGTCTGTAATATTGTCTGTGGATGCAAATGTCATGGCCGAGGAAGTTGGCAAGTATGTCCATCTCATTCTCTTTCATATTGAGAACTGTAGACATAGTAGCTATGTGCTTTCTAAGTTTGGTTGAGGATAGCATCTCTGGATGCACCGCACCACATTCTTTGGCTACCTGGCGTAGGGAGTCTGATCCCCTGATGTGGGTGTCTGCGCCCGGGCGGGAAAAGAAGTATGGGTTATGGTCAGAGATGGAACAGGCCCTTCTGTTCTCCACCAGCACCTCCATCGAAGCAATCATTTCAGGAGTCAAAAGAACCGGCACTTTCCGACTTCTTTTCCCTTTAATTTCAATGCGTTGAAAATGCTGACACAGCTTTTTCTCAAGTTTCTCAAGTTTTCTCATTGCTCTGGGACAGTCCCAGAGCAATGTCAGAATGGATCCCAGTCTTACTTCTTAAGGTAAACGCTGTCAGTGGCATCTTTGAAACCTCACCTTCCCTTCTTCGATTGAAAATAATGACCTCACAAAGAGTCAAAACTGCCAGTTTAGACCAATGCTTAGACGTTGGCTTTATTAGGGTTTGCACATATTCAGGTCGACATACCTCAATATGTGCATGCATGGCTCTAACGTCCTCAGTCAGAGGGAGCAGGTCCGGAGTGTTCCACTTGGCTTGCCGGAGGGTCTGTAGGGCAGCAGAAGAAACACAGACGTCCCACCTCTTCTCAAAAAGCAGCCGGCTTCGTTGGAGGTTTTTAATAAATAGTTCATCAACACAATGCTCCATTTTTGAGTCACATTCAAGAATATCTGCTAGCTTTCTGAGGCTATGGCCGAGTTTGAGGGCCAAGGATGGAGTCTTGTATTGATTTGTTTCCTCATCATATCCAGCCACAGACCTGACTGCATCAATCACATGGTTAAAGTTGGAAGGAATAAAGAAATCCTTAATTGTTTTCAGTTTCCCTGCGGTTTTTGCTTCGTTAATTAACCTACCGACTTCTCTCATTTTCTGCCTAATGTAATCATGCTTAGTCTTATCATGCCCGTGTTTTAAGTACAGGTGCTCTCCGAGTCTCAGAATCCCCTTTTCTGCTTTGACAACACCCGTGACCTCATCCTGATGCATTGCCAAAATTAAAGACCACAGCTTTTTGCTGATGCC